CAGAGAAGAAGGATATTATCTTCTCTTCTTGATGATTAAGCAGCTAAAAAATGTTGTTGATGTTTCACATTTTGCTCTAATATATGATTATGATTTGGTTCGTTTATGTTTATCTGATACGAAGGAAATAGACGAGGGAAAACTTTTTGTTCAATCAAATTAAGATTTTAGTTTAATAATTTTTCTTTTCCTCAAACCAAATACACTAACATATTTTCAGGGCGTATTTGGTTAAATATAACATTTTTTGGGAAGTTTTTATTGAGAAATTGATTGAAAATATATTATATAATAAATTATTAAGTTTTGTAGTGAAATTTTATTAATATTTTGTTATGTTTAGTAAGAAAATTACATAAAGAAAAGTATATAAAAAATTAGTAAAAAATGTTGTTAAGTAAATTTTATAGAAGCAAAGTTTTTAAGTAGATCTAGGAAAAACTTTTTCTCATTAAAAAAAAATACATGTGAAGAAAAATTTATTAATTAAGAATCGTTTTAAAAATAACAAAAGTTAAAAATATCACTCTTATCCTATATTTATTGTAATTTATAGAGGTGTAAATATCATTTTTATAAATTCCTAAAATGAGGTATTTCCCATAAAAGTAATCAAAAACACCCTTAATTCCCAGGCAAAAGCCTACTTTTAGCTCCTCAACTTATTAAGTTTGAAGATTTTAATCTCTCATTTTATATTATAACATTTTTACCCCTCACCTTACTAGATTTGTAGGTTTTAACCCATCATCTTATACTTTGACACTTTTAGCTCATCACTTATTAAAATTGAAGAAAATAGTCCTTACTTTGTAACATTTTATTGGCTCTGTTAGTTGGCTATTAACTCTATTTTTAGACTGTTAGTTGACTATTAACTTACAAAAATCTTCTTTTAGTTAACAGAATTAACATAACTAATTTTATATTATTTCGTTAATTATGTTAATTAACTATTAGTTGACTGTTAGTTAACAAAAACCTATATTTAGCTAACAGAATTAACAATTAGTATAAAGTGAGGGTTATTTTCTTCGATTTTAGTAAGTGAGGGGTTAAAACCTATAAATCTAGTACGGTGAGGAGCTAAAAGTGTCACAGTATAAGATGAGGGGCTAAAACTTTCAAACTTGGTAAGGTGAGGGGCTCAAAATAGGTTTTTGCCTAATTCCCATCCCACCAATTTGTACATAACCTTCTCATTCTTGAATGTGAGCTCTTTTTGATTCTATAAACTGTAGAACGAGGCCTTTTCAACATCAATGGATCCAAGAGGCATCCTTCAATAATCTCATCAGCTGGGCCTCCCTTGTACCGGACATTTCTACGCATGTTTGTGGCGAAAATAGTTGAAATGGCAAAGTGAAAGATTAAATGCCAATTTTGATCCTTTAACTTTAAGATTTTACATAATTTTTATTCTTAACTTTTTTATACACTTTTTTGGTCCTTAATTATGAAAAATGCACTTTTTGAGTTTTTTCGTTAATTAGTCCATTAAATTTATTTAAATCTACACATTTTTAGTCCCTTAACTTCTAAAATATGTATATTTTTTATCTCTCAACTTAAAGTTGAGGGACTAAAAATACATATATTTAGACAAATTTAATAGATTAACTGATAGAAGAACTAAAAAAAATATAATTTTCTTAGTCAAAGGACTAAAATAGTGTATAAAAAAGTTAAGGGAAGAAAATTAGGCAAAACCTTAAAATTGAGAGATCAAAATTGGCATTTAACCAAGTGAAAAGGATAAAAACCTAGGTAGCTTGAAAGCATTAATGGATAAACAGAGATTGGAATCTAAACTCATCAACCCCATTGCACATCATCAAGAAATTGAATCGATCAACCCAAATGTTCAATTTCCTTTTAGTTAAAATACTAATTTGGTCTCTAAACTTTTGAATTTGTACTAAAACTGTCCCTCAACTTTAAAAAATACCAAAATTATTATTGAATTTTAATTTTCAATATAAAAAAATCCTTTCATTAATAGAATTGTTACATAACTCGTTATTTTGTCATAAAATTAGTTTTGTTTTAAATACTAATTACATATAAAATTAAATAATCATATTTTGTTATTGTAATATATTTTTATTTACAAATCAAATTATTATATAATCAAAGTTAAAAGACTAAATTTTTATTTGTAATCAAAGTTTAATAATTAAGTTAATACTTATTTTCAAAATTTAAGAACTAAACTGACATTATCTTCAAAGTTTGAGGACTATTTTAATATTAAAAGGTTGAGGGACAATTTTGGTACAAATCTAAAAGTTGAGGGACCAAATTGGTATTTTAACCTTTCCTGTTAAACGCAAGTTTACAGCTCGGTGTTTCTATACTGGGGCAGGGCACAGGCTTTGATTTTTGACATCAGCCAGCTCCCCACATGGTAAACCATTGAAGTTCTGTTATCAGGTATAAACTTCAACTAACTCAGGGTTCTTTCAACTAGCAGAATGCAACAAATGGTGGATGCTCTAGCATTCTAAGAGGTTTTTGACACAGTAAGTCCCCAACGTAAACCATCCCACGAGGAGCAAAGAGAATGAGAACAACCCTATCAAGAATGGCCACCCGACTAGTGCTACGCCCAGGCAGACCACCACCGTAAAAGGGAGGAATGATTTTACAACTGACATCCTATCAATCCAATGTCCCTTAAACAGTACTAGAGCTGCTACATTTACCATGTTCCAATCCATTGATCCATCATAGCAGAGCCGATTTAGACAGTTGGCAACAAATGAGTGGCAGTTGCAAGTGAAAATATTGTAGCTTCTGTGCTCAAAATTACGCGTACTTTGCCGAAGGGCATCATCCCACGTGATTGCAGTCCCATAATCTGCATGCTGATAGCCCTTTTTGCATGTATGCCCAACTAGATTTGGGGGAAAACAGCACTGATCCACAAATAAAAATAATAGTCAATGGACCAACTGGGAGTTTTTTTGGTACATCAAAGGGCAGAAAAGAGAGTAGAAACTCTGCAGCCTAGGGAAGGAAATTCCCATTAAATCAACATGAAAAATAGGACTGATTCCAGGTGGGGCATCACTGCATGAGGCAGAATAGAGGTGCCAGTAACTAGGTATAAATAAGTAATGATGACTATACTAGTATATAGAGATGATGATAATAGGGTAATTATGCAATTCAATATTTACATGGAGAGAGAAGAAGTTGGATTCAAAAGCAAATGAAAATATGAAACAGTACCTTTTCTCTACCAAGTTGGAGATATCTAGCTGGAGCACCAAAAGCAAAATCGTCAATGTTCACAAAATTTGATCCTGAAAAGTCCAAAATAGCTCCATCCTCCCTGCAAATGCCAACATGTCCAATGAATGGTGCCAACCATGAGACAACTGGAAGAGGAGCCCAAATCAAACAGCGTGGAAACTTTGCAGTCTTTGGATCAATTTGATCTAACAGCCACAGGTCATGCTGAATCTTAGATGATGTAGATATCCTATGTTCAACGTCATACGCTGCTTTTAGATCCATTGTAGGAAGTCCTCCAGAAGGTGTACAGCTTTGTGCAATTCTCTGCAGTGAACCATCACATGTCAAACCACCCTCTCCAACATTATGTGTTTATTTATGCCAGGTTAGTTACCACAAAAAATGATATTCTTATTATGAAAGATACATGTAATTGTGATCAGAGACGAGTATATGATAATGACATGAAAACCCCATAATTGAAAATACAAAACTTGTATCAAATTTGCCAAGTGTCAGTAGTCGATTAGTTATAGAGAAATAAATAACAAATAACACTCCAAATAAAAAAGCATTTTTTGCACTGAAATGGCTTTGTGTTCACCTTTCCTCTCTGATATTTCCTTGATTGATATTCCACAGAGATATAACCATGCATGGTAGCAAATAGTTGTTTTAAATGAATCACACATCCTCTATTAACCCATTAAAATATCTAATTTTAATGTACATTAGATACTAGACAGCAGGGTATAAAACCTGATACAATGATAGAATGTCATCTAAAATTAGGATCCATAAAATTTTTGAGGAGATGCCCCTAGATTCATGAATCATATCCCTAGCATATAATTGTCTCCATTTTTGTTAATACTACACATTCATCATCATGAACAACGAAAGGACCCATACCTAGCTCATTTGACCAGCTGTTGTCTAAAAAGATCCAAATGACATGGATGATAAAAGAGAAAACTTGCAATCATAATACAGTGCAGGCTAAAGAACAAGTTCTCAAAGGTTTCTCAAATCCTTTCATTTAAAAAGCTCTGACGGGAGGGCATAAATGAGCAGTAATTTTCCACGCTTCCACACAAACCCACTTAGATCAAGCAAATGCCAATACCACGAACCGTGAAGGTTTTGTATTTAAGACTGATAATTTCTTAAATCTTAAGCCAAGTTTACCCTATAACAAAATGCAGTAGAAGTTAATTCTTCTAGATGAAGAAAACTTTCCACGTTCACTTTTGGGAACCAACTGCATAAAGTTATTTTCATCCCATACCTAAACCAACATATTATTTGGACCTTTTCTATTTCAATTGCCAAATCTTAATAATCCAGCTAAAAACAAGAAATCAAGATATCAGGTTCTTTTCCTTTAATTCATTCTTAACATACTCGAACATGATGACCAGAGTAGAACTCACTCTTAATCAACTCAAAATTCTTTCCAAATTCCATTTTCATAGACTCCCAATCGCTGCAGTAGCCAAAGCAAAACCAAGCACGATTTTGCAATACATTAAAACAAAAGGCTATCTAAACAAAGTATATAATGGATCTTCAATCAAAAGAAAGTAAACAGAGAATACAAGGAAAGCAATAAATTGACCAATCATAGCATCAAACTGACCTGAAAAGAGTAGCTGGCAGTGAGTAACTGAGTCGTCGTGCTGAAGCAACAGCCGGCGAGCAGAAACCGAACGGAAATCTCAAAGTCGGAAGAGAGAAAATAGAATGGAGAAGAAACGCACTTTCACTTTCGTCGTTGTCGTCGGAGAATTAGGTGGTGAAGTTCATTGTTATGACAAAAAAGGAAGGTGGAAATCGGATTTTTATTAAATATTTTAATACTTTGTGGGAGGTTTCTTGATTTGGAATTGAATGGAAAGGGGGGGAGGGGGGAGAGGTGCATGAACCAATACGGAGTGGGGTCCTCATCTCTCCCGCCTATCTATTAGTATCATGTACTTCATTCAAGGTAAAAGGAAAGGAATATTATTTTTTAAATTGTATTAAATTATATAATATTAATTATTACCTAAAATTTAAAGATTTTAACTATGAGTAATTTTTTATTTTATAAATTTTGTTTTACAATTAATATAATTCAGATAATAAAATAGGAGTCCCGTAACTTAATTATCATATTCTTTTTTTTCTCTCATGCAATATTTAGACTCTTAACCTCTTTCCATCTAACAAGAAATGAGAAAGGGTCCATTACCTATTTTCCGAAAAAAGAAATGAGAAAGGGAAAATGGACCTTGAACGTGATTCATACAAGAATTTTCGGTGTCCCATTAAAAGTCATCAAATTAAACCCGATTCTTTTCTTTTCTTTTCGATCTGTTTGGAAGATTGGAGGAAATGATAAACAATAAACTTGTGATTACTTAAGGTTTCATGACAGAGTTTAGAGCATGTAACTATGATATACACCAAAGAGACAAAGGATGAAAGGATCTTTTCGCGGATATTTAGTGGACTATACACAAATATATGGATGTGTTGAGAGCTACTTAGAGACTTGTTCAGGGAATACTGGGTTCACCACAGAAGCCATCTGGTTCGAATGTTCTTGCAGAATCCTCGTTGTAAACGCCAGGAATAGCTCGACTCCGAGCTTGGTCAGATGACATTGAGGAAATCTTTTGGTCTCCCTCTACATTTATGAGGACAAGAATGGATATAAACAAGGAGGCTGCAAGAGCTACCAGAGTGTATTTTAATCTGCTCAACACAGGCTTGACCTGCAAAAGAGTAGAAGTACACGGGATCAGAAGTCAAATGAGATGTATATTCTCTGACTCTTTCATTCGGAACAAGATATTGGATATAGGCTCTAGCCAGTTTGTAGAAAAGTAAACCTTCCTTAAAAAGTTATGTCATTCATTAGCCGAGGAAAAACCAGTGATCAGTCCTTATGTTCCACAATAAATGGTTAATATGGGTCTCTGGCAGCCAGGGTCAGAAAGAAAGAGGTGAAGAAGGGGAGAAAAGTGTATGCTCCAACGTAGGATACTTACTGAAAATGAACCAAGAAGCCTGTCACGTGCCAAAACTTCAGCAGTCTTCACCCATATCTGTTCAGGAAATTTGTTTCAGTCTTCAACACTGCATGTTTTTGTGCAACCATGATGAGTCTAGCACCACTAAAACCTCTATGATGACTAACAAACTCTCACTTCAACTTCAAACATCAGGAATATAGAATTTGGAACATGATTACATAAACCTCTATAATCCCTCCAACCATACCAACCACTGCTACTGTGAGAAAGAATCCATGATGCATAAAAGTTTCAAAAGCACAAGCTACATCCCACCCCCATCTAATATAATGACTGGATTTTAAAACTAAATTAGTGAATTATCAGATACATAATGGACAAAGAAAGGCCATTTAGGAATTTATTAGCACATTTGAAGTTTTTAACAGCTAATAGCAGCAAAAATGGGAACATATACGCAGACACCAGTTAATGGCCTTAAACAGTGATCCATCCTATGCAACAATGCAAATACAGTTGATTGATGCTCTTATAGTCGGTTAATTCTTAGGGTGGCAATGTTCCATATGCAGCAACCTACATCTCATTTTCCTAGGAATGTATGAGATAAGGCAAAGGAAAGACCGAGAACACATAAATTAGGAATCAAGAACAAACCAAAAGGAAAGAATTGTATGCGGCATACTTAAGTTATTGCTATTTGCTACATTTGTTTACAGAACCAAAAACATCAAAAACATAAGTACCAATTCAATCAGCTAAAGCTTTCAATGATGAACATCAAGAACCAAAATTAGAAAAGAAGAATACCTGTCCATCGTACCATCCTGTCTCTTCATCTACAAGACATTGAGAGAAAAATAAGGGATTGGTGAGGCAATCAAGCAAGGAAACAAGCAGATTTATTGAAAATCAATGAAACAATGAGTTTCTATACAATAAAGAAGAAGAATCAGAGCAACTTACATTCAACAGTGGCGCTGAGCAGGCGGTTCCCAACATAAGCCCAACCCAGATACATCCTCAGAACGGCAATCGTAACGAAAATTATCCCACTGGAAAGGGCTGCCAGAATCCGCTTCAGCGGCTCGTGGTCGACCCCCACGGCCCCAAACCAGGACACGGGTAGGCCGATGAAGAGCGCGAAAGAAGCGCCGGTGACCAACAGGCGAGAACAATACTCAACAGGATCACCGGCCGCCCAAGAGAAGGGGAAGGAGGTGGAGAGAGACTGGTACTCGTTAATGGGCTGTTGGTCCTGCGGAACAGGGCACTCTGTCTCCGGTAGGGGTGGGGTGTTGCTTCCGTTGCCATTTCGATACGATGAGGGTATTCTAAGAGTTGGGTCATGGGAGCGGTGAAAGACAAATCTGGGCCTAGTGAATCGAAAGTCCGGCGAGAGGAAGCTAAGCGCAGCAGCAGGCTGCGGTGGCGGCTTTGTTGACAAGCGGAGGAGCAGGGTGGCCATAGTTCCGTGGTTCCGACCTCCAACAAAGATTTTTCTGAGTGTATTTATTTTAAATTATTTAATTAAAAATGAAGATATAAGTAAATGAGTTGCAATTTTCGAAAAAAAAAAAAAGCAAGAAAATCTTATAAAGAAAAAACAAATAAAAACACATAAAATTTGCAAATAATTTCTTTGTATTTTTCCTTTCTGTTTCCAGACGGGGCTGCAGAGATCTGATGTTTACAATTTCAGGGGCTGGGATTTCTTACCCAAACAGAGACCTCCACAAATAAATGAACTTGAAAATAGTAATTTTTTTCCTTTCCTTTTCTTCTTTTTTTTTTTTTTTTTTTCTCCCATTTGGGAACTTTCTTACAGTTGGAATGATTCTGCCTATTTTATAACACTAAAAACAACATTTTAAAATGGTATCCTCCACTGCTCTTATGCAGTTGCTTGATTAGGAGGAAAACCACTCCGGAACGGGTAGCATTGATCCTCAACTTCGAGAGAGCAAAACTGCCTGCACTCCGCTCTTCTAACCGGGTTTTGCATGTTAATGGAAAAACATCTGCCTACCTTCTCTGGCTCTTCGAGCCGAGAAGCAGCTCCAAGAATTCTTATTACAGAAACTCAAGGGAAATCACTCTATATTTAGATTTCCAGAATTGGATCTGTCGATGAATTGAGGTAGAAGATGCCGCAGCCATGACATGAGCTGTGCAAAGGATGGTCGGAGATGTGACTCGCTACAAAAACAACACGCATTAGTAATGTTGTTGCCTGATTGTCAATGGTAACAAAATTGTGGAGGCATTGAAATGTATAGTATATGGTCTACAACTCACGTATGCCAACATTCCCGTATGATTTGTGCTACAGATGGATCCACACTATCAGGAATTTCAAGCCGCCTATTCTGGAACCCAACAGCTCCAACAACCTGCATGGGGTTCAGTCCCTTCCAAGGGATGCGTAGAGTCACCAGCTCCCATAATATCACACCAAAACTGTACACATCGCATCTGCAAGTAGGACAACATAATTGTTTATAGCAAACAAGGGTGATAGAAATTTCCTATAATCAGGCAAGCATGAAAATTAGACATGCATCATACATGACTAAGCTACACTTGCTAGTGCTCCCATGCTCGTGTTTGTGTTTGCTTATTAAAAATCACTTACTTCTCATTGGCTGGTTCATTCCTTAAAACTTCAGGTGCCATCCATTCAGGCTGCAGTAAAACAGCAAACAAACTTGTTCTTAATAGAAAGAAGATGACTTGTTTGGATAGGAAGGAAAATATATCGTTTGAGAATACTACCGTTCCAGCAGTAGACTTGGATGACAGAAAAGTGTGATGCTTCAAGCGTGACAACCCAAAATCACAGACCTTAATGGAGAAAACAGCAAGAAATCAAGAGGTTCAAAACACATATTGTCAGCAGAAACACAAGCAAATTCAAAAGAAGTATATAATTTAAATAAGCATCATCATCCAAGAATTTTTTAAGCTAAACACCTTCACAACCCAGTTCTTGTCAACAAGGAGATTGGGAGACTTCAGGTCTCGATGCACAATAGGTGGATGGCTTGTGTGCAAGTAATTCATTCCTTTGGCCTGCAAATAATTAAAGAGGTTTGCTTAAACAGAAAACCCCAACAATAGGTGGATACAAAAGGAAGAGCAATGCATGACAAATGCAATCTTTTCTTTTGTCACTCATACCACATCCAAAGCCATTCGCATTCGCCTCATCTCATCAAGTTGAGGATTGGGTCGGTGAAGTAGTTTATATAAACTTCCCCTGCATATGAGAGAAATAAGAGAATAAGATTGGGGGGCAAAAGATTTCCATTTCAGTTTCTGATAGAAACGTTGAGAATAGTAGAAACCAGAAACCTAGTGATTTCTCTGGAAGAATTTTAGAGAAAGATTCACTATGTTCATTATTGACCATAAAGCAAGTGATATCATAATTAGCATTTTCATTTCTATACATAAAGTTAGCAAGGGGGAATGCAGTTAGAAACCTCATCTCAAGTGATGGAAATGTGTACAATAAGAGGAAAATGCTCCTGTCACTAATGGTATTTGAGAGAATATTTAGAAGGCAAAACTGTCTTTCATTATAATTCCATTTCCAACAGCCCAAAATGATGTTTAGAATCAAAGGTTAATTTACTAATCAATGATTTTACCCAAAAAAAACTACTAATCAAAGAAATTTGAATAAAAAAAGGTAACTCTCTCAATTGAATGAAGAAAATCAACCTGGGAAGAAACTCTGTCAGTATAGATAAATGTGGGGAGCGAGTAACAGCTCCCATGAAAAGAACAACATTTGGATGCCTCATCCGTAACATGATTTCAACCTGCACAGGATCAAAATAGGTGCATCTTCCATTCAGATTAATCCATTCTATTGGAAAATCAGGCAGAAATTAGACAATAATACGTCAACACAAGATCAATTTCTGGTGTATACCTCGCATTTAAACTGAACCAAAGCATCACCAGAGAAGTCTTGATCCAGAAACTTTTTCACAGCAACTTCCTGTGGCACAAGATGGAAAGAGCATAAGTGACAAACATTAGAATCCTTTTAGAGACTCTTGAAACCAGATAAATACTGTCATCAATTAATAGAATAACAATTTGATAGGAGACTAATGTGGAACGTTTTATGAAAGAATTAATAAAAAAATTCAGAAGATCTCCATTATTTTCACAAGCTTACAACATAATACAACAATTACATTAATATATATATGTGTGTGTCTGTGTGTCTGGGTGTCTGTGTGTGATTTTTTTCCCTTTATTTTTTTATTTGGGCAAGCAGGTAAGGAAGTGTTGAGGGGCATTCTGCATCTAACACCATAATCATACCTGTCAATAAGTTTCATAGATCATCATGTAACATGTCATCCTGAAACTTCTGTAAAATAAAACTACTAATAGAGGTAACTAATGGGTTAAAAATATAACTTACAGTGCTATTCCAATCTGCTCGGTAAACCTCACCATATGATCCTACAAGACAAAAGTTCATTTGAGTATACTAGTATGGAAATACCATACTCAGACAACAGAGTATAGCACTTGGGATGAGAAAAACAAAAGTGGCTCTTGAGTGTAAAAGCTACATGCTATGAGCAACATTTTTGCCTCTCACATGAACACACATGCCAACCCTCAAACTATCTCACTCAAATAGATGAAAAGGCTTTATCTAAGAAATATAAAGGACGTTTGCCTGAAAGATAGCATGAACAAACTTATTAAATGCAAGGAGACTTTTAAAATAACACGACTTATTCTTCTATTATAGAAACTTACCAATACCAATACGTTCACCAATTTGAAGATCCTCCCATTGAATTTCACATTCTGCAACCTCCCTTGGCATTTGATTAATCTTCTCAATGCTACCATTGCTGGCAATATGCAAGTCAGTAGGAGTCACCATTAATTCCATCGGAGATTCTTTATTGAAATCGATGTTATTAGAAATCCTTCGTATTGGTCTATCTTCCACAAACAATGGATTTTCTGTCTGTCTTTCAGAGGGTACATTCTTAGGATCAATATTAGTATCCACAGCCTCATTTGGCAACTCCCCACTAGTTACATTACCAACAAGTAGGTATCCCTCACTTGTGGTTTCAAGGGATGAAGAAACATTAGATTCTATGCCAGTTGTTTTTGACTCTCTTTGATGTTTTCTTGCTGGCTTTACTTTACTTCCATAATTGACATCATCTGAAGACTCCAACCCAGAGGATATAAAAGACGGCCCTTGGCATAATGACAATTTGTTTGAATGGAGGAGAACATCATTATCAACATTTCTGCCTTCTGCTGGATTGACTCGTTCAATCATGTTCAATTCACCCAAATCCTGAGAATTAATATCCATGAACAAATCTGGGGGAGGAGATGCCCCACTCTCCAACAAAACAGCATGTAACTTCTGTGCAAATTCAGGGTCCTTTGCTGCACTAATGACATATTTGGAAACATTGTTTACCTTCCTCCTTTGTGCACATGATGGTTTTTCATGAGTGCCTGAAGAACCCTCACCCAATTGAGGTAGAGAAAAAATCTTCCCAAACTCATGTTCAGATCTGCCAGCAAGGTTTCCCCCATCTGCATTTCTCTGATTGCCTCCAACTATCGCTTCCCCTAATATCATGTTGTCAATTTTAGGAACCTGGTCTAGGGTGGGTGAAACTGCTGTATTTCCCATTCCTTTGCCATGCAACAAACTAGAATCCTTGGATACTTCTGTAAGATCTGTGAAGCATCTCACAAAAGACCCTGAATTGGGTAGATGACTGCTTGGTACCTCAGCCGGAATTAGTGTGCCAGGAGCACCCATTAGATCGATAATATATTCACTGCATCCATTCAGCAAATTTATTACAATTATCATAATTAGCATTCAAAAACACCTTAATCAAGTATGTTGAGTTTGCAGCAAAACTACACAAACGATAAAAGATCCAACACCAATGAAATAACCAAACCAAAACTAAGGTGTTTAATTGATTGCAAAGGGCGCATAACTCAAAAGGTGGACAACAGAGAGAATTTTTTAAATAATAACAATAAAAAAAAGAGGCTCACAAATTTGATCGTTGCAATACAGAATGATAAAATATGCTTTGTGATTAGGAGAAACTAAGACAACGTTGTGCATAAAATGCATATGTTTCTGCATCATATGTGCTGTCAAATTTTATATCTTATCAGATCACATTGAGGAATGACTTGTGGTAACGCAAAGAGAAAGGCCCACACCCAAAAATTATCTGAATCATATAATTAATCAAATTTTAAATGAAAGGCATTTATGAAGGGAAGGCAATTACCTTTCATCATCAATTTTAATTAAATTCACAGCTCCGTCATCTGTGCCAGTGTAATAGCTCCGTTTGATCAGCATACAAGGAAGGCCAATCCTATCGGCAAGAACCTAGCACCAAAAGCTTGAATTAATTTCCTCAAAGAAATATTTATACTTGATGCAAGACGAAATGAGATTAGCCAAAAGGTAACAAAACAAATTTCAACAAGAACAGCCAATATGATAAAAATTAGCAAATTAAAAATTTTCAAAAAATTTGGGTTCCCTAAGCCTAAGCTATGTTTAAAGGACATCGTCTTTTCTACGCCACTTCAAGTAATGGATCGAGAACAAATCAAGAGTGGTTACAACCTTAAAAAGCAGGGCCCTGTGCCGTGAAATCCCAACATCAAGACATCCAAGAGGAAGAATGACAGTGTTCAGAGATTTTCTTAACTCTATACTTCTCAAGTTCCACATTCTCATCATCTCTTCAGCATCACCAACTGGGCCACCCATTCTATTTACAACTATGTCAGCAATTTTTTGGATCAGCCCACTTAAACTTGTGCCATGCCCAGAAGCTCGGTACTCGCAATATTCATTATAAACTCTTCTCTCAAGCTCTTGCAGTTGAGGATCGAGCAACCGGTTCACCAAAATGACTTCATAATCAACATTGTCTAACACAGAAATTGCTTGAAGATCCACCAATGATGGCATCTTCCGTTGGACAACTGAACTTGAGGTAATACCACATACATCATAAAATCCATCCAGAATTTTTTCATTATAATTTACAACATTATAACTCTGCAAAAAACATAAATAGAAATTAGATTTTCCATTTCAACAGAAAATATGCATGGATAGCTAAAGAGTTATGACAAGAGCCCAACAGAAGACATGAAGACATGAATGGTAAAATTTTACAACCTAGATGCATACAAATAAAGAAAGGATAAGTACTAATTTAGTAACAGTCATGAACTAAAAGATATTTTCACAGAATTGTAAGAGAAAACAATTAAAATCAACAATGATTAAACGATATACCCAATCACTATATTCAGTGAAGGTTCAATTACAGACAGGCAAAATGATTCAGAGTCCACATGCAAATAAAAAATGCCTGTAAAAGAACACCACAATCAAGATCAACATTTACTAAGTAACTACAGTTTAACCCCAATCATTCATAATCAAGAATAATTATAACCACAGACCAAACGTAGTCAACATGAGAAAAGTTACCATCCCAACATAAGATTTCGTCCATTCTATTTCCAATAATTTGAAAACTATTGTACTCAACAATAATTGCTAGAACCCATGGTAAACAATAAGAATCTGATATTGAAATGATATCTGCAATGAAAACTTTAATTGAAGCAACAACGCCACAATAAGAAATAATGCCACTCCCACAATGGGAAATTATAATGATATAATCCAAGCATGGAATGCAAACAAATGAGGGGAAAAAAGCAACCTCAATTTGAAAGGCAGTTGCATGGATATTGTGACGCGAGCAAGTTACTAATACCATAATATAGTAACTAGCAAAATAATTAAGCAGCGACCTAAAAAATGGGAACAAAGATATAACCACAGAAAACAGGAATTCCCACCACGCAGTCCAAAGACAGTTCAGAAATCCACTGCCAAGAACCCCTATAACACTCATGACAACAATTGAAGCAACTCAACACGAAATGCAATCCCAAAAATCAATAACATCGGATGTCTAGTAATGAAAAACCTAATTACACATGATATAGAAATTTAACAAAAGAACGCAAAAGGGAAAGGGGGGAAAGCTACCCAATAGCGAAGCGAAAGGAACTCAACGAGAGCATCATTGTTGCTACCGGCAAGGCTGATCCGCTTGGCAGAATCGATCTGAGCTGTCTCAGGCTCCGACGCACTGATCGCCAGCGCCAACTGCATCTGAAATTCCTCCTCCAACAGACCAAAATCTATTCCAGCTCCAGCCGTCCGATCGCCCCCTGCCGATTCAGCAGTCCCGATTCTCCCCATTGAACCCGAACCAGAACCAGAAGGCGTAGACGAAGTCGTCCCCGTCGACGCCGAGCTCGGACTAGGACCAGGACTAGGACTGCTGATCACGGGCCCAGCCTCCCCCAATCTCTGGTGCTCGTTTAGTCCACCGCCGATGTGGAGCTTCCTCAGCAGATGCTTCATCTTGGACATGGATCATCAACGGCGACTTTTTTGCTTCCGCTTCCGTCCGATGACAGGTTTCTTTAATTTTATTAAATTTGATTTTTTTTTTCCCTTTCTTCCCTATCTTCTGGCTTAACCTGCGCCCACTAGTAACCACAGCAGATTCCCTTAACCTGCGCACCCTTCTTCGTCAAGCTATCACCACTTGGGGAAGACTTAAATTAACCGTTCACCCATTCCCTCCAATGCCATTTCCCCCTTCACCACTTTATACAGTAACTCCATTGGACCCCACCTCCATTTCTAGTGTACGATCATTCACATGCTTCTCTTTGACCTTTTTTCGGTTTGACCAAACATTGCCTCTTGATCTTTCCTCGTGAAAGATTATCTAGATCGCGGTGGTTTATTTGATTGTTTGACTATGATGTTATGATCATTTGAATGTTTTTCGACCGTTCGATTGGTTTACTAATTTATGTGATCAAGGATCAATTAAAGTATGGTTATAATCATTTACTATTATATTAAAATCGTTTTAAAATTATTTAGTTTCATTGATATTTTATATGTTTATAATTTTTTTAAATAATTAGTTATGATACTTAAAAATATCAATTTATAAATTAATTTCAATTTATTAAATAAAAAAATAAGTTATTTGTATTATTTTTAATTATTAATTATTTTAATAATTAATTAAACAAAATTGAGTGATTGAACAAAATGATAGTTGGTTATAACTTCACCCAACTTTCACCTAATCAATGATGGATTATAATAGTACTAGGATTAGATTGGAGCTAAGTAGAAAAGATAATATTGATAATTGTGTTTGATTTTCTTAAAAAAAATGTTATTAAGTCTAATTAAAGTTTAGTAAAAAAAAATTTTTTTTTCAACTTGTATTTCATTTTTCAATGATTGATGTTGCGAAAGATGTTAGCTAATTGTTGTAAAAATCTTCTAGATTCGACGTAAACGGTATATTTGTTATAACCTAGTTCAAAATAGGATCAAATTGCTAAAAAGGAAAAGGAGGGGAAAGAAATGGAAGGTGAGAGGATCCATGGTAATGGTGCAGCACCCGCGCCCCACAGAATAAATGTTAAAACGTGTGTGCGCAAATTGATTATATGTATGTATTATATCATAGAGACTCATACCTTTGTATCCTATGGGAACGGGAAGCTTGTGACTAGTAATTTGTTCTTGAATTGACTTTTCTTTCTTTCTTTTTTTATAATTTTTTTAAAAAAATTATAAAAAATAAAAAGAAGCACGTAATCAACGCCAATAACATTAATTTCTTATGTAGAGAAAATAATAAAGATTGGTAAATGTTTAATTGCACTGCTAGTCAACCAATCATCTCAACCATATTGAGAGATAAGTAACTAGAAGTTTAAGATTCTGGACGTAATTGTTATTCATTAGTCGTTAATAAAGAGCTATTATACAACATAGTAAAAGTTTAGTTAAATTGTACCAACAACCTATTGGTTTAAATGTAATGGACTCGATTTTCTTTTAAGTACAATTTAAATCGTTATCATGTTTTTTTTTAATTTTAATTTGCAATAAAGTTAAAATTTTTATCTTTATAATAATTATTTTTTGAGATTAGTATATATTAATTCTTATTTTTAAATAAATTAGAATCTTAATTTATATTTTAAAATTAAAATTAAAATATCAAAATTTAATAAAATGAATTTTTAAAATTTAAATTAAGTTTTAATTAAATAAAATAACTAATTAAATATTAAGATTTTAATTTATTTTAGAAGTCAGAGAATGACATCCATGTTTTTTTTTTTTATTATTCTAAGAATTTTTGGGACAAGGAATTTTTCTAAAAATTTTATACTCTTTGTTTATTTTCAATAAATTTAATTTTTTATCTAATAAAATAGAGATGTAGTAATTCATTAACAAAATTTTATATTTATTTTTAATTAACTATCATTTAAATAAAATTTTTTATTTAATATATGCTATAATTATTTTTTAAAATAAAAATAAACACATTAAATAATATTTTAAAAATAAAAAATAAATAACTAAGTTTAAATGTCTCAAATAAAAAATTAAGACATCTAAAATTTAATGGAGAGAGGATTAATTTTTTGCCAACAAGTTGGTTTTGAAAGAAAAAACCTTCAATTTTCTAAAGATTTTATGCAGATCAGATTTTGTTTCCACGTTTTTTTTTTTTTTAATGAAAATAATGAGGTATGGTTTTAAGACTGCTTTGATATAATGGAATTGTCGGTGGCTGAGGTCGTAGAAATTCAAACAAAATTTAAGAGCACTAAAGTTTTTTTTTTTTTTTAACAAATTGGCAAAAGGTTGGGTTCGAACCATTGCCCTGAAAATGAAAAATGCATTTATACGTGATCTAACGTCACTAACTAAAGAGCCAAGTGCAAGAGCATTACAGTTTAGTAGTCTACTCTTTACAGGATTTAATACTAAATTAAGACCAGAACAAAAGTTTTCCCCTGCTAAAAAAGGCGATAATTTAACAATACAGGGATTATAATCATCACTAAAGTCCTAACAAAGCAAACCATTAAAACAATTACTTAAAGTATAAATATTATAGTTATAATGTCATGTTAGATTATAACTTTATAATTTTTATAATTTCACGTGGTATATTATAAAACATTAAATAAGTAAATGTATTTAATATTATAAGTTAATTATTAAATAAAATAATTAATTATATTATATTATATTATATTATAAATTAATAATGTCATGCAATATTACATCTATTATATTTTCATTAATCTTAACTAAAATAACTTAAAATTCTAATTAATCTTAACTAATAATTAAATTAAGTAACGAAACACTTAATAACAAGAAAATGTCACTTCATCTAATAATTGATATTTTACATTTCTGCCGGATTCAAACCACAAATCAGTGTACTCTTATAGTTATTATGACTTAATCAATCATGCAGTCCTGTTTCAAAACCCCAAAAAGAAAAAAAAAAATAACTAAAATAACCTAAGACTCTGATTAATCTTAACTAACAATTAAATTAAGTAACAATACCTAATAATAAGAGAATGTCACTTCATCTAATAACTAATATTTTATATTTCTGTTGGATTCAAACTACAAATCAGCATACTCCTATAGTTATAATGACTTAATCAATCATGCATTCCTGTTTTAAAACCCCAAAAAGAAAAAAAAAATTTCGGGGGGTGTTGGGGAGTGGTGTCAAGAGAATCTTAGAATTTGATGTGTACCCAATATCTTCGTTTTTATCAAAGATTTTAGGTGAAACTTGATTTTCAGAATTTTTCATGCCAATAGTTTGCGTGCAGAGAAGAGCTCCCATTCCCCCAGCCGGAAGAAAGAAGAGAGAAATGATAATTACAACATTTGAGTTGCAATTAATTAGCTGACAAATTAGTTATTAAAGCAGCTAATAACCACAGTATATATTATCAATGAAGCTGTGAATGAAGATTTAAGAAAAGCTAGTATTTTTATATACATTAGAGCAAGAGGAAGATAGCCTTAACTTCCCATGTCTATCATGAACATTCTCTTTAAAGGCCAGACATTAATCCTAGGCAGTTGCTGCCGCCGGTTCATCCACCATCTGTGATACTGGGAGTAGGGTGCAGATGAGGTGGCGGTCTCCATACACATTGTCCACACGGCCTGAAAAAGGATCCCCCATAAATTGAATTTTTCGTAAGATCAAACAAAGATAAGACTAGATGAATACAAAAAGAAGGTGATGATGAATACCAGTAGTAGGCCAGAATTTAGCAGTACGAAGCCAGGAGGCAGGGAAGGCTGCATATTCTCGGGAGTATGGTTTTGTCCATGCATCTCCCATGAGCAAGGATGGTGGATGAGGCGCTCCCTGCAATAGTATATTTTAGATAATTGCTCCAAAAGCTGATGAATAAAACTATTGTGGACAGACTATAGCATTTCAGACAGAAGATGATTTCCCTAATTAAGATGTAAACACAAAAGTTCAAAACTAAATGCAGTGAGGAAGGGAAATGCATTTCACCTTCAGGACATTGTTGTGGATATCAGCCTTTCCTTTTTCAATTTCTGCAATTTCTTCCCTGATGGAGATAAGAGCATCACAGAATCTGTCCAACTCTGCCTGCAGAAGATATGGAATTTGGTGTGAGAGAAGAAAAGGCTACTGTATGTTAAAGAGAAGAGATCTTTCATGATTTATATACCTTGCTTTCACTTTCAGTGGGTTCAATCATGAGTGTGCCTGGAACAGGCCATGACATTGTTGGTCCGTGGAATCCATAGTCCATAAGACGTTTTGCAACATCTTCAGGCTCTATTCCAGCAGTATTCTGCAAGCATGGTGGCTCGGATTAAGTAATGGAGAAAAACAGCAGACGAGGAAATACTATTAGAAAGAAAATAAGATGACCTTAAAGCCTCTTAAGTCCACAATAAATTCATGAGCAACAGTTCCATTCACACCACGGAAGAGAATAGGATAGTGATTCTGCAAATGCAAAGCAGCCACCACACAGAAGTTAGAGTCAAAATTATCTTAAACTTAGCTATGTGCCATATCTCAGAATTTTGAACTCGGTATATACCTCCAAACGTTTTGCCATGTAGTTTGCATTCAAAATAGCTATTTTTGAAGCTTCAGTGAGTCCCTTAGACCCCATCATAGCTATGTAAGTATATGATATTGGCAAGATAAGCGCAGAGCCCCAGGGTGCAGCAGAAATGGTACCGAGAGGCTTTGATTTCTTGGGAGCTGGGATACCACCAGTAGGTATCTGCAGTATGACAGCAAAATAATTTTTAAAAAGCTGGAAAAATGTTTGAACCAGAAGAATTCACCATGGATCGCCACTTCTTATCAAACTGCCAGAATATTATATATTATAGAGAGCATAGAATCCAAGTTATAATTTTAAGGATGCATCTTTTCACAGAAATGTTATGGCATACAGTGATGAGCATAAAAAAAAAATGCTAAGTGAAGTTCTCAAAATGTAAATTTGCAAAAGGAAATATATACCACAGGGTGTGAAGGCAAAAATGGTGCCAAATGCTTCTTAACACCAATAGGACCCATGCCAGGACCACCACCTCCGTGTGGAATG